TAACGATTATTATGTGCAAATAATAAGTTTGATTTTTTTTTTAATTAGGAATTTGTTGAGGTTGATGAAGGGGAAAATCTTCTTGGGGTTGGTGTTGCTTGCAATCAAGATGATGTGGGTGATAGTTCAGTTGTAAAGAGGCGCCTTCTAGACGAGTCTTCATCAACCCAGACATCAAAGAACAAAGGGATTAAGGAGGAAAGTGATTGAATATAAATTGCTTTGCTGAGGTTTCTGATGCATGTGGACCAGGATGCCTGTTGGCATTTTATCTTTTTTTTTTTTTTGGTTATTGGGTTACAAAGACAGTATGATGCCTTTTGGCATTTCTTTTCTTTTTTAATTTTGGTTACATCTGCTACTAGGGTCTTTGGTGGCTCAAGGACAAAAAATGGTACATGGATCTTTTAATAAATTGTGCCTGACTCAAGGATCGTTTTGCTTATTTACCGTGGTTTGAAAAATTTACTGTTTTAAAATATTTGTGAATATTAGGTTTGATTATCAAGTTTTTCAATCACCTCCTCTTCCAAGTAGGTGGTTGCATTGTAATCAAATTGTTTGGATTGTTGAATATTTTTTTGCAGTGAGTTCAAGTATTCCTAAACATATATAGCAGATGTGGTGATTAGCTGATGTGATGATTTGGTGATTAGAGTCCACGGTGAAGAAATTCCTGTGGATCTATAATAGTCCATTGTTTTTACATCGAGTGAGAAGCAGAAATATTTATAGATCTATAATAGATGTTTATAGAGAGTCCATTATTTTTTTTTCTTCGGATGTATAAATGTGTAGATTATTATAGTTTTGAGTTATACAATATTGTAAAGTATTGAAAATAAGTACTTTTGAATGTATAGATGTATAGATTATTATATTTTTGAGTTATACAATATTGTAAAGTATTGAAAATAAGTACTTTTGATAATTCTCATGATTGAAAATCTCAAATTAGTGCAACAATATCCTCAAATTATGTACTCAGAACATTACAATTAGCTTTTGTAAAAAAAATTTACAGTCTAAAACTTAGTAATAAAAGACAACAATATAAAGTTAACTAATGCTGTGAAAAAAAATAATGTGCAACAATGTGAGTAAGAGGCCGAGAAATGGGAATTTCTAATTGACATATATGTTAATGAGCAATTGAGCATAGAGTGTATGTATAGTGTATAGTGAGCTTACAGGAGAGTGGTATTTCCTTCCAAGCCTCGCATGCCCTTTGCCGTAGTTTCTCGAGAGGGTAAACACCAGCCACGCAGAAATTAGCGGGATCCTCATGCCGCATTGTGTACTCCTTTAGGTATATCGGCTTGGCATAGTTTCTCGAGAGGGTAGACGTCATCCATACAAAAATTAGCGGGATAAATTATCAAAATATCTCAAAACTAATATTAAGAATTCTATGACAAACTAAGACAAGCAGCAAACTACTATGTTGTCTGAATGGAGTAGTTTTAACAGAGCTGACATTGTAAGAGAATTGTGCAAACTTACTTAATGGTTGGGGGAGAGTTAAGTGTTTGCATAGACCGTCAATCCCAGCATCAATGATGGAAGCCAGACCGAGGTATGGGTTTGCACATCCGTCAAACACCTTAACCTCAAAGTCGTTAAAGCCATTCGGAACTCTAGGTGAACTGGCTGTTCTTAGATGATGAGTGCACTACACCATGCTTTCTGAACAAGACACCAAAAGACAAACAGACGAAGATTTCGTCTCAGAACTGAAATAATAAATATTTTTCCTTTAATATCACTAAGATGAACAGATGTTATGCTCAGGTTATCAACAGAAGTACACAAATATAGAGGATTAAGCAAAACCATCTCAGAAAAATGAGCTTTACTCTGTAATTTTAGGAAACACCGAAACACAAAACCTCACCCCTCAAAGCCCCTACCCTCCTTCCCGACTCTAACTCCCCATACATGCTCAGCACAGATAAGCAGGTTGTCAATTGAGCATCACATCACTCAATAATGGACAAGAACGCTGGAACCATCTGGACAAGGGCATAAAGCCATAAATACAATGGAAGTTTACACTCACCAATACCCACAAATTTAGGCCCAAGTTACACACAGATGTGGGGTTTATTTTCATAGTATGGGAGATAGCTGCCAACATGATTGTCCTAAAGACAGTAACCTCAAAACGACATTGAGATCATCTTAAGTGAAATACTAAAAGCTTCTTCATTTAGCACTTTATTAAGAGAGTTATTAAATATAAGGGCCTAAGGGGAAGCAAAATGCTGAGCAGCAATATTAAACGGTAATAATAAAATTCAACATTCACTTTCTAAATTCATAACATTCACGGTAATGGTTGACATCAACTCACTATGTATGCACAAAAACTGGAGTACCCATATACTCTTCCACCCTTCTCCATTTTTATCTTTGTTTTCCTTTTCAGAAGGAAAACTGGAACATTGAAAAAATTAAAGAGAGCAAATAGAGATGATGGGTTAGGTATGCCATGGTTTAGGAAGTCTACCTGCAATCGAATGTGAGGCCAGTCTCATTTTCCTTCCAAGGCTCCCTCCCCTGCCATATAATCTCGGCTGTGGACTGCATCAAATGCAACCGTTAATAAGGACTAATAAGCCACAAATTGTTCTCGGGCAGCAGAAAAAACTAAACAAATGTTCTAAAACCTTTGCACGCGAGATTAGACTTGCAAAACATTGGTCATAAAATAATATTTTAGAATTTTTACTAAAATATATTATTTTCACGGTCAAAAAATACTAATTTTATTTTCGACATTTAACACTGCAAAATATGAATAGGCAACACAATTAATAATCAAATTGGTATTTAGAATCCAACTATTAGTATTCCACTAACTGAACAGCTGCTATAAATCTAAGCTATCACTACTTTAAAGCTATTTAGTGAGAAATGAAGAAACTTACAGGTTCTGTTTGTATAGGATCCAAGCGAAGGACTGCTGAGAACCACAGAGGTCAGTCTAACATTCATCTCTTCTTAAAGCATTATAAGTGGTGTAATAGAAGTACGAAAGCTATGCGGAGTACATTCATCCCTATCTCATCAAATCATCCCAATCCTCTCTCTCTCTCTCTGTTACCCGCCTCAGTTGCGATCTGACCATTTCCCATACTTTTCATGCTGATCTGACTATTTCCGCATTGAACAACCCGAACCCGTGGATGTTTCGTCATTCAGTGATCTCAGTCTCACCCTGGACCTCCCCTCTAACCGAACCAGTGGATTCATACTTCATAGTGAAATCTCAGAATATTTTAGGATCTATGAACTTGAGATGTGAAAAAATACATAGATCCACAACCTTGAGCTTTCCAAAAAAACATATCCAAGTAGGAGAAGTAGAAGCATCTTCTTCGTTTTGAAAAGTGTAGAGAGAGACAGAAATGGTGAAATGAGAAGCTTCCCGAGAGACATATTTATTGACTATCATTTTCTTTATTACTCCGTATTATTATTATTATTATTATTATTATTATTATTATTATTATTATTATTATTATTATTATTATTATTATTGGCGTGGGGATTATTGTTAACATTTTTTTTATTTAATGTATTATTTACTTTATAAAAACTATAATTACCATTTTTTACATTGTATAAATAATATTAGTCAATTATAATATTACAAAACGAATGGATAGAATTTTAATAATATTTCTTTTGTTCATCTATTTATATTTCTGGGGGTAATATTTTTTGGTCTTTGGGTCAATAAATTACATTAAATAAATCACAGTAATACTTTATTTAAAAAACATTCGAACCAATCTTTTTTATACATTTATTTTTCTATTTAGTTATAGTTAGTAAGTTAGTATTATTATTAGAACATAACAATATTTATAGAATGTTATTTTCTTTTATATTTTATAGTATTTAATTATTTAATTATTATTACGGTATAAAATAAAAATTATAATTTCCATTTGTAGTCAATTTCCTTTGCACTTATCTGTAGATAACATTTTTTTTTGAAAGTCTGTAGATAACATTAAATATATTGTTATATATATATATATATATATATATTTATTTATTTATTTATTTATTTATTTATTTATTTATTGTTTATTTTCTCAGAGAATGAAATTGTGTCAAGTTCTAAGATAAGTAAAGCTTCAACCAGTGGAGGTCTATGTGATATTACAACACGAAATCATATCTATGGTGTATTTCAAGCATCACTCTCTACCCCGTTGCGTATAGTTTCTCACGGTTAGACTTAAAGTCTTTTTTTTTTTTTTTGTATGTTATTTTTTGTAATGTGAATTATTAATTTTTTTAATGTCATCATTTGTAGAACGCACATTAATTAGTTCATCAATCCACGACATACATCATGCGTCAGACAATGGATCATCTACACGTACGAATATTCAAAATCAAAATTTGATATATATAAAAAAAAAAACAATGAAAGTATATATTCTGTTCAAATTTACTTATTATTATTATAACATCTAATAAGATGTTAATTCTATTAGGATGTGGGAATGGTACAATAAATGATGTGCAAATGCATTTGGAGTCAAATTGTGATTCAGCTCTCCCGACTCAAAACAACTATCCCAACCTAAGTGTAGAAATGGATGAAGTGCTTGGTCATCAAACAAACACATCAAACATACAAGATGGTTAGTTTATAAGAATTTGATTGTATAAAGTAAATATTGTCTCACAAATTCTTAATATTCTATACTACAATTTCAGTTGAATCTGTAGACCTTGGTGACCCGGACGACATATGTGAGCATTGTGGTGGTTTTTTTTGGTATGAGGAAAGACTCTACAAGTCAAAAACAAAAAACACAGTTAAATACTCAGGATGTTGTGTGAACGGGAAAATCAAACTGCCTAGAAACACACTACCTCCAAAGAAGTTATATGATCTTTTTTTTACATTGAGTGAAAAGCAGAAATATTTTCTTCAAAATATAAGATCGTATAATAATATGTTCTGTTTTACATCAATGGGTGCTAAGATAGACAGGACAATAAACAATGGGTCATCCCCTCCAATTTTCAGAATCCGTGGTCAGAACTTCCATCGTATTGGTAGCCTGATTCCACCAAATGGGACCTATCCGAAGTTTGCACAATTGTATATTCATGATACTGATAATGAAATTAAGAATCGTATTACTTCTGTCAGGTATAGTACATGATGCCACAATTTGTTAATTTCATCAATTCATTTAACAATTACTTTAAATAAATATAACGAGTCATTTTCTTTATTCCTCTATAAAGGGAGAACATAGCTACACAAGATTTGCATGTTGAGGTGGTGGAGGACATTAAGGAGGTTTTAGACGGGAATAATGTGTTGGTTAAATCATTCCGTATGGCCAAGGCAGAAATTGAGAGAAATCCACGTGTAGAGATAAAAATGAGATTAATTGGTAAGAGAACTAAAGATGCAAGAACTTATAACCTACCAACGACGTCAGAGGTTGCTGCACTTATTGTTGGTGATTTAGATCCATCCATAGGCCACAGAGATATTTTGGTTGAGAGCAATTCCGGGGTGCTTAAGCGAATTACTGAATTAAATCCATCATACCTACCATTGCAATATCCTATTCTATTTCCTTATGGGGAAGATGGATATAGAGAGGATATACAGTTTGCAACCAATGGTTCTAACAACAACAATGCAAGGCAACGTATATCTCAACGGGAGTATTTTGCTTATCGATTACATGAAAGGTTAGAAGAGATTTCTACCATATTGTATGCTCGGAGGTTATTTCAACAATTTATAGTGGATGCATACACAATGGTTGAATCTGCCAGGCTTATATACATAAGGACACACCAAAAATCGCTGAGGTGCGAAGCTTTGAAAGGACTGACAGATGCATTGACGCGAGGTGAAGTACAAGCTAGCACCCAAGGAAAGCGAATACTTTTACCATCAAGTTTTACGGGCGGAGCAAGGTACATGATCCAGAATTACCAGGATGCAATGGCCATTTGTAGACACATTGGTTACCCCAACCTATTCATAACGTTCACGTGTAATCCAAAATGGCCCGAAATACAGCGGTACATTACCAAGAGAAATCTCAATGCAGAAGATCGTCCGGATATTTTATCCCGTATATTCAAGATGAAATTGGATTGTCTAATAAAGGAAGTAAAGAATGGTGAGCTTTTTGGTCCTGTGAAATCAGGTATATATTGAATTCCATTAAACGCTATGTTTTTTTTTATTTTACTTTTGTCTACGTATATCATGTTAAACTAATGGAAGATTATTATGTAAATGTAGTTATTTACACCATTGAATTCCAAAAACGTGGACTACCGCATGCACATATTCTAATATTCCTCAAGAACAAAGTTGACATGACGAGTCCGACGTACATGGATTCAATCATAAAGGCTGAGGTACCAGACAAGACAATGCAAATGAAATACTACAATGCAGTCGAGGAATTCATGGTTCATGGACCATGTGGAATCGCCAGAAGGAATTCTCCGTGCATGGTTAATGGAAAGTGTTCAAAGCACTTCCCCAAACGATTTGTAGCAGAGTCTAAGTTTGACCAGGATGGGTATCCAGTTTATATGCGTCGGGACAATGGTAGAACAGTCAAGAAGAATGGTATAGAACTAGACAACCGATATGTTGTCCCGCATAATAGATATTTGCTTTTGAGGTACAAGGCTCATATCAACGTAGAATGGTGCAACCAGTCGAGATCAATCAAGTACCTCTTCAAGTATGTCAACAAGGGTAATGACCGTGTCACAGCAGAATTCTACAATAGTACCATCGATGAAAACGGTGAGGAGGTGGTGGATGAGATTAATATGTACTATGATTGTAGGTACGTTTCAGCATGCGAGGCAGCCTGGCGACTATTCAGTTTTGAGGTCCAATATCGGACACCGGCTGTTGAAAGATTAAGCTTCCACCTTCCAGATTGTCAGTCCATTGTATTCGCTGATGATGAAAATATTGATAATGTTTTAGGTCGTGAAACAGTGGGACAAAGTATGTTCAAAGGATGGTTCGAAGCCAATAAGAAATATGAAGATGCACGCTCATTAACATACATTGAAATGCCCAATAAATTTGTTTGGAAGAGAGATATTCGAGAGTGGCATCCAAGAAAGAAGGGGTTTTCAATTGGTCGCATCTTCTTCGTACCTCCTGGTAGTGGTGAAATATACTATCTTAGATGTCTTTTGAATATTGTTCGTGGACCAACCAGTTTTAAAGACATTATGACATTTAATGGGGTAGAATACATGACATTCAGGGATGCATGTTACGCACGTGGATTATTAGATGACGACAAAGAGTATATTGATGCAATTGAGGAAGCAAGTTATTGGTCATCTGGACATGCGATGAGAAAGTTGTTTGTTATACTATTGCTTTCAAACTCATTATCCAGACCTGAACATGTATGGGATGAGGTGTGGCATCATTTAGTCGAAGATGCTGAATTCATGCATAGAAAACAACTAAATAAACCAGGTTTTAGAATCGTGCATAAAACATATATTTAATTACATAATATATTTAATTACATATATATATATATATATATATATATATATATATATATATATATATATATATATATATATATATATATATATAATATAATAACTAATAACTAATAACTAACAATACTATTACTTTTTTTTTTTTACTTTACAGATTTGATACTAAAAGAGTGTGAGAAAAAAAACTTCGGTTTAATTGAGCTAGAAAAATTGTTGATAATACACAATAAGTCTCTTAAAAACTTTCCTCCGATGCCAACACCTAACATGGATGATTCAAGATTGGTTGATAACATTTTGTTATTTGAGGAGTTGAACTATGATCGCGAAGCACTCCAAGCAGAGAGCGAAGAATTGGCATCAAGATTGACTGATGAGCAGAAAGAGATCTACAACACAATCATCCAAAATTTGTCTAATGGCAGTGGTGGACTATTCTTCGTTTATGGTTACGGTGGTACTGGGAAAACTTATCTATGGAAGGCGTTGTCATCAACATTGCGAGCTAGCGGTGATATTGTTATCAATGTGGCATCCAGTGGTATTGCGTCGTTGTTACTTCCTGGTGGTCGAACCGCTCATTCAAGGTTTTCCATCCCTATTGCAATAAACGAAGACTCCACATGTAATATTAAACAAGGTAGCCATCTAGCCGAATTGATCGTCCGGAGTAAATTGATTATATGGGACGAAGCTCCTATGATGCACAAACACTGCTTTGAAGCGTTGGATAGGACAATGAGAGATTTGCTTCAATTTCAAAATCCAACAGTGCTGACCAAACATTTGGTGGAAAGACGGTGGTGTTTGGTGGCGATTTCCGGCAAATATTACCAGTTGTACCAAAAGGATCTAGACAGGATATTATTTCTGCAACAATCAACTCATCGTATCTATGGAACAATTGTAAGGTTTTGAGATTGACAAAAAACCTTCGATTAAATCGAAGCATGCCGGGGATTGACATGAAAAAACTAGAGGACTTTGCAGATTGGATTGCGAGTATAGGTGATGGAACTATGGTGGT